AGTCTGTACCACTACCACATCTAGGGCAGTCAGATCACCTGTCCATCCTTTTAACCAGAGGTGAGAGTAAGTACTCCATGTGCAAGTCATGAGCAAGACTCAAGTCTTGACCTACAAGTATCAAGCAAGTCCAAAGTCACTGTGATGAGAGTCAAGCAAGTCAAGTCAAGTCATTGCTCGGGTCAAGCAAGTCAAGTCATAGGAAATTCTGATGAATAAGCCCAGTTTCCGCAATTAAATCAGTTAAAAGACAGTGGTTATGAAAATGGATTCAACCCACACTATGATCTTCATTACATACACAGTTANAACGTGGTTGGGTCAGAGTATTTTTTTCTGCACATTATTGACGCAACCAGGTGTTAAACCCTGCATCATAAAGATGTTTTTTGCGGAGACTTAACAATTCTAGGGATGCAAAAAAAGGTGGTAAGTAGGTATACGACCGCAGATAACAGAGGGACGTCTTTTTTTTGTACCGGCTGAAGCAAAATAAAAGGCACCTTTTACGGATAAAATTCCAATCAACGGTAATTTTAACGCAAAACTACAGTAACTACGACTCTTTATACCAACAATAAAGTCTAATACACACGTCACCTACATATTAAATATAAGAAATCAACGATCAATAATGACTTCAAATAGAATCACATTATATACAAAAAAAAACAAGAATATGTTGCAAAAAACAAAGGTATACCACACCCGACACTATAGAGACGATAAACAAATTAAGACAATCCAACACATTGACAACAAAACTTACACTGTTAACATCGCCGAAAAAGACTGGTTACATTACACTAGTCTTGCAGAAGGTTATATAACTAAAAAAATAAAAAAAAAAAAAAAAAAAAAAAAAAAAATAGGACCACACCGTAAAATATTTCGTACTTGAATATTACTAAATGTAGTCGGAAGTTAGACGACCACAAAGGAACTTGGTCCGGTCGGCGGGTGGTCATAAGAGTGAAGTGTAGAAGGTAATAGTCATTATTTGGGGTACCAAGGATATATATGGTGTCATTGTTAGTTGGTTAAGGCCATAGGTGTCCACTACCCCACCTCCTCTGTTGTGTCCCGTGGTCCACATGTGTTAGTTGCTGTTGTCTGTACCCTTTCCCCTTGTGAAAAGGTTTTATTTTACGACGAGGGAGGTTGTGAAGGTTGTTGAGTATGTCTGTAATTTATTTCGTCGGGCAATAGCGGTATGTCCTTTGTGTGTAAATTTTGCCAAAACGGACGGCAAAAACACATGTGTTAACAAGCCTTTCACCGCGACATGGAATTTAATTCAAATATTATACCGAAAAACAATAACCGCACCGTAAAGGACAAGCCATATTCACCGTTACACAAGAATCTACACCTCCACAGGACTCTAATCGCGGACGTCCGTCACGAGTTACCTGACAGCGTCGACGGACTTCGTCGCGTTTTACCATGTACTTTGTGATGCAGAATACTTGCGATCTCTTCTTTCAGACATTACACATATTTAATTTAAATTTCTGTTAACACTAGAACCGCCAACAGCGTCAGCACCTACACAGATATCATTTTCAAATCATTTCATTTGTTACTCTTCATAATTTCCTTATAAACTAAGTAGGACGATTTAAAACTCACTTAATTGGGTTAATTTAGAAATTGCTTCAGTTTATCATCATAACAGATCAAAAAGTTCAGATTCATTTTACAATAAATCAAGGAAAGATGCACTTCTACAAACAAAAACAACATAATTAAAACATTTAAAAAAACTACTAAAAGTAGATAGGCTACATCATTCAAAAGTTTACAGTAACTTCTGATAATAACACAGGGGAAATAAACGAGGCATCTCTTTTCCTCTCCCTCTCCCCCTCTCCTGACAGCCCGTCAGTATCAGGGTTAGTCAAAAATGAATTCCTTGGCGGTTCTAGTGTTAATTTACTGTTTTGTCTCTTTGCAATGCTTAATCGATTTGAAACCAAGTCTAACGTAGCTTAAACTTAACGTTAGCTTTCTAGCTAACACAACACATGCACGCACCTTTCTCTGTGGTTTTTTTGTAGTGACGAATGAAGTTGGATGTTGTGGTGGTCGTGTCACTGATCTTTATGCTGCAGACCCTGCATACCGCTGTTCTCTTCTTATTACCGTCATCCACAAAATAAACCTTGAATCCAAACTTCGCTATTTTTGGAGCAAAGCTAGCCGCTGCCATGTTAACTGAGACTCCTGCCTTCTAGTGGGTTGCCAGGTTTGCACGCATTACTATAATCACGTTTTTCGAGAAAACTAAACGTAATATCTCACTACACCAAACGCAAATATTTAATTTTAAACAGTCAAGTCCTTTCAAGTCATC